CCCCAAAACCCCAAAACCCCAAAACCCCAAAACCCCTAAACTAAATCGAAAATTGAAACAAACCACGAGCTTTCTTCTACAAATCTTCATGATAGGTTCCAGACTCTAGTTGATACATCTCTATTTCATCAAGATGTGGGAAATCAGGAAGATCAAATGGGATATCAGCATACTCATGAATCTCTGTCATGATTCCTTGGGTGGTTAGCTTCTTTACCTCGTGATATGGCCCATATTTATTCAACGAAGACAGAACAAAGACTCTTCAGGTAGAATACGAGTCTATTTTCTGGTCAAATCCAGTAGGGGGACTTTGCTTAAAGACATCAAACATAGCTAATCTGACTGATTTGATATTTAGCTCATTATACCTTTTCGCTGCTTTGCCATATGCTTCAATTATCTTCTCAGAGTCTTTATTAATATGGCTAGAATCTAGAAATAGAACTGCAACATCTTTTTCCTTATCCATTGCTATTTCAGAGAATTTGTTTTTCTTAATCTTCTTTACATACTTAAGATGCTTTAGATATTCCTTCCTGGAATCTGGAAGCTTAAAGTCCGGAGAGAGAATACTTCTATCAATAATTGAATTTATGTAAAAGACCACATTTCGCTTTGTAAATGGCTTTCCTTTAGGAAAAGGAGTCGATTCTTTTGTTAAGAAATGATTTAAAGCCAGAGAAGGCTCCTCATCCCAAGTGATGCCCAACTCTAAAATTTAGACAAAAACTACCATTCTTTGTCTCTTTATATCTCTCTTCTTCAGTGAAAGTGAAGACATACTGAGGATAGTCAGGTGCTATTTCTTTGAGTATTCTCAACAATTGGTTTGATTCTTTCTCATACTCTTTATGTGTCTTGTTAACAAAAGCCATGAACATTGGCTTTCTAAGTTGGGAGATTATTTTAAATGAAAATCCAGACATTTCTTCAAGAGGTTCCAAGCTATTCTGGTTTATCCAGTCTTTAAAGAGTTCTGTCTGAGTGTTTAAGTCGTAAACTCTAATGATAGGTTCTGGTTGGTTGTAGTCCTTTTTAATCATTACAATAGAATTAGAAGAAACCTCACTGAACCAATCAAGACCATACATGTCCTTATACTTCGACGCAAGTGTCTTGTCTGTTACTTTTGCTACTCTGAGATCATCCCTATCAGCAAGCTGAAGAGCAGCTTCCTTAAATTGCTCAAGTTCATCTTTCAACTCTACTTTGTCTTTGATGAAGGCAATGACTCTTGTGACTCTTTTAAATAGAGGAAAAAGTTCACCAAAGCCTGAATATTCTTCTAAATAAAAGGGAGTATTCTCGATCCACTCTTTAGCAGGATTTATAAAGGAGTTTACATCATCCTCAGTCTTTAGGAGAACAATCGGGTATAATTTCCTGTTGATGAAATGTAAAATGAAGCTCTTATGAAAAGTCTCAGTGTATTCATAAGTTACTCTGTTTGTGTGGAATGCAAGCATCGGAACATTCTTGACATCTAGACCCTCTTCTTCTAATAAATCACCTAGATTGTTAAGCTTTTATATACCATCAAAAGTAGAAATATCTATTCTGATGATAGGGATTGGTTTCTTTTTGTATCCAACTTCTTTATTAATGAAAGTATTGTGGACCTGATTTAGGACAACCTCTCCTTGTCATCATTTTATACAATTACTGCTTGAGATGCCCAGAAAATATACTTTAGTATTCTTTTTATACTTTCTTAGCTCTTCAAAGTTCTTAATGATCCCATCTCCAACGCTAAGGTTAGGAATATCAGGGTCTCATCCTTCTGGTATTTCTGACTGTAAAGATTTTTTAATATCTTGACTTTCATCAATCTCTGTTTGATCTAGAAAATATAAAAATATTGAGCAGCTCAAATTTGTAGTTAATTCTCCTTACTGTGTGAAGTACTAATATTTCCAGCTTGAACTATTCGTGCTATCACATGGACTCAAATAAATGTGAAAGCCAAGACCCATGTCAGATTTAATTTCGTAGCCATTTTATTCTACAAAAGCCTAAAAATAAGGGGTTTTGGGGTTTTGGGGTTTTGGGG